ATTGAATTTGTCCTCAAGTGAGGAGAAAAATGTCTTTAATATACATCATGATAAATGTTTGATGCAAAATTTATGTATCATGCATGTATGTGTATGTATGTTTGTATGCATGTGTTGATGTATGTTTTTCTCGATCTGGAAGGAGAATAGTTGCAAGAGCAATCTTCACTCTATCATTGATTCAGTTTGTCTTTATTTCCACTAGGGTGTACTCTTGCAAACCTTGATCTGAGACCATTTGTTTTCCCATCAAAATTTTGCCCCCAAAAATTTGCTTTTTCTTGCCCCAGTTTAGATCTTGAGCTTCAGATAGATATTCATTGAATTCTAAGATATGCCACCAGAGATTATCTTGTTTGAATTTTTTTATTTTCAAGAGCCTGAAAACATCAATTAGAAGAGTTTTGAAAAATGCTTAATCAAAGATTTGAAAATATTGCCCCTTTAAAGATTTAATAATTGACAAATCATAGAACAAGAGTTCACTGAATATCAAAGAATTAATTACACTGTTAATCCTTCAATAAATTATAGCTATTTGACAAGTGTCAAGATCAATGCTATATTTGAGAAATGGTTAAGTATGGAAAGGATAAAAAAAGTCTCAGGTTGTTATGTTTGGTTAAATGTATGGTGTTCTCATTTATTTGAATGTTCAATGATCTGATGGGGTAACGTATACTCATCTTTTGGAAGTTTTCTCCGACTCCCAGCTCTCATGATCTCATTCGGGTTGTGCGATGCCTTATCAAGGGACTTGTATGATCGCCTCATATGCAATAGTCTTCATATTCGAGCTGCTTTCCAGGTTTTCAACTCGAATCCTCCTTTGGTTTCAAGACGTTACTTAGAATTTACGTCTTGAACCCCCCTTTTGTTATTTTTCATCTATCATGCATTAAAGATTTTAGAAAACCTTTTTGTAAATAAAAGATTAATCCTGATGGGCGAGATAAAATCTAAAGATAATCTCTTCTGTTTAGAAATCCATGTATGATTAGAAGGGACTTTTAAGGCACGTAATGTAGGCCATGGTTCAAGGTTATGAAAGAAAGAGATAAAAGGCCCAAACAAGTGTTTAAGGGTAATTGAACCAAGGATCAAATCATTCTGATGCTTTAAATCATGTCTTGCTCGATTTGAATATGCTCGTATGTGTCTTTCTCTTGATGTTCTATGATCTTCAAGTGAAGTGATTCTGGAATGATTGTGCTTGATCAATCTCACGGTTTGAAGCTCGATGCGTCATTTGAGTTGAGGGACTCATTGTCTGTGCTCTTTGTCATCTTTTTGTTCTTTGCTCTTTTCTTTGTTTTTGATTTTCTTTTTACTTTATTTTTTTGCTTTATTTTTTCTTTGCTTCTTTTCTCTTTGTTTTTTTGTTTTCTTCGCTTTGATATGATCTTTGCACTTGGCATTCGGTTCACCTTTCGGTATCTTATCAAAATCAATGTCTTCAGTCATGCGAGCAGATTTCCTCCAACTTGCCCCCTAGTGTGGAGGGTGATCCTTGGTTAGGGCTGAATCAGAATAAAACATGATAGGCTCAAAGAGGGACACAAGGGATATATATTTTCTCCTATCGTGAAGGGATAAAGAAATAAAGCCGTTCATCATTTCATACACAGAAGTCCTCGCAGAAGAGATATCCCCAGGGGATAGATTTTCAGGATTAATTGTTTATTTACATGAAAAAATATAATTAATGCATGATAGAATTATTTTGAATAAATTCTATTTTTTTTTTGTTTCTTGCTCTCAACATGTCTCAATTGCTCATGTTCGTCTTCAGAAAATTGATGCGAGATGCCCCACGCTGTGCCTTCTTACAAGAAGGTTAATGTTCAAGTGAACATCTTGCACTCAATTCTTGTAGGTCATATTGGTAGAAAAAATGTCGGTTTTATGTCTAAGAAGACGAATGTGCAACTTTATTGGCTCAAAGAAAGGTAAGGGTGTGACTTTTTGTGTCTCAAAAAGATAAAGGCAATGTTTCAAGGTCTCAAAGAGTGGAAATGTCAAAATTGGTTCTTTGGTAGTGACCAGGAATTATTATGGGTAAAGAATCGAGAAATTTTATTTTAGTTTAGATGGGATAATATAGGTCTAATCTTTCCATGTGTCAAAAATCTATAATTCTTAAAGAATAAGAGGATGCGTAATTCATTTGATATTCAAAGAACTCAAGATTAAAATTCGTTCAATTATTCAACCTTAAAAGGTAGCATAAATTCAAATATTAAGATTAAAAATATTTAAGCAAATATAAAAGACAGAACAAAACGAGTTCAAACGAAACAATGTCTATGGATGTAAATGGTAGATGCAATGCCCCCATCCATCTTCGATTGTCCATGCCCCTGAATCCATCAGGTTCTGGATCTTGCTCTTCAGTGCCTTACAATTCTCAGCGGAATGACTGGAGCTTCCTATGTGATATCAACATCATAGACCTCAAGAAACGAAGATTCTTTTCTCAAATTGTCCTGGTAGACTCAACCCTGCAACCAGCCGAACAAGCTTCCATCGTGTTGATTTCAACTTCTTGCTTTTATTTTCAATGTGGTTAGGACCACTTCCTCAAATCCTCCATGAATTAGCTCCATGTTTTTATGAAAATCCTTAAAAATGAAATTCATATACCAAATGCAAAGATGCAAATGCAGATGCAAAAATGTTGATCCCAACGATGAATATCATAGAATAATTTTCACCAAAAATAAAAGGTTTCACATTACAAAACAGTCTACTTTACAGACATGCCTTCACCTAGATGGCTGAGTCTGAAGTGGATCAGTACTTTACCTCGGATCTTCATCCTCAAAAATGATGCCTCTCAATGCTCTGTAATCTAACTCGGTTGATGCCCCTGCGGTGTTGAAGTTAGTGCGTCACTCTTTGGTGGTTTGCGTTGGTAGGATCGTAGATAAGAATCTACTGTTGGATGACTCATCGAATCAATAGATCGTCATTTTAGTCTGGAATGTTGCACGATCTTCGAGCTCACTGCTTCGTCTCAGATCTTTGTATTTGGAACTGATGCCCCTCAATGATCTTTGGATTACTCTTCGGATCAGTGGATCGTCATCTTGAATGCTGCACGGTCTTCGAACATATCTCATTCTAGTACTCTGGCCTTCTTTTTAGCCCTCAGTTCATGTCTGTGTATGTGACTGCTTGATTGAAATTTTTTATCTCTTCTTGTGAAAAGTTTCTCATGAATATCCCCTTACGAATCAACATTTTTGCATTATATCATGATGATGCAATGCAATGCAAAGAATGATGAAAAATGACACAAACAAAATAAATAATTTAGTGTATACAAACAAAAGAAAAGAAATTAGTTAGTACTGGTAAGATAATTGATACAGATAAAAATGTTATTCAGAGATGAATATAACACCTACCCCGTCATGATATCTACCCGAACATGCTTTAATTAAATAACATTCCTACCCGGACATGCTTTCTACCCATAATGATTAATTCAAGAAAATAATTCTAACCGCATGGTATCTAGTTCGCATGTTATTATTCAACATAATTTAAAGCAAAAAGGAAAGGTTCAGAAAGGTTCCTCCTTTGTGTACACCTATTTTGGGTACCTAATGACGGAAAGAGGTTCAATATGCCTATACCTAGGGTGACCGTTCTACGGTTCACTATATACATGGTTTAGGCTTTAACAAGAAAATAGGACTCGAATTATCCTTAATGTCGGTGCCCCCTTGGGTTGCCAGACCCTCGATCCTCACCCATTACAGGTTTCGAACGGAACGAGTTCAACTCGAGGGGATTCACTGCCTTATACCCATACGAGGAATAAATCCCTACGAAGGTATAAGGTATGTATCCCATGGGTTAATTGCTAAAACTCATACGAAGAATAAATTCTTACGAGAGTAAAGCAATCACCCTAACTAATTTGGATCGAAGCTCGTGTCTAGAGCTTATGTTATGCAAATGTATGTGATGTGTGTAAGGAGGAGCATACCTACCTTTGACTCAAAACGAAAAAGATATAAAACTCGACAAAAACTTGGATCGATCTGAAAACAAAAATTCAAATGTTAGTATGACAGTTAAAAAAATGAAGCAATTAAAAAAATATTTTAAATTATTTTTTAATTTTAAGGAGTTGTTTAATTTTAAAAAAAATATAAATTATTTTAAATTATAAATATAAATTATTTAAATATAAAATATAAAATATAAAATATTAAAAATAAAAATTAAATTACTGGAAAAAACTAAATATGCATATTTAAAAAATACTAAAACTATTATAAAATTAAAAAAATGGAATTTATATAAGAGGTTATAAAATAATTATTTATAAATTAAGAAAAAAGTTAAAAATATTTTTGAAAAGATATATTATACATAACATATATATGTAGCATATATGTGTATCATCAACACTTATACAAAGTATTCTTATTGAATTAATTGAGAATTACAAAATTTAAATTAGACGAGAGTTATAATTTTTGAATTAATTGAAACTTATCATATTTTCTAATTATCTTTTTGTAAGTCTTGACTAATTTTAAAGACAATTATATAATAAATTGCAACGTAAAAGATAATTAAAAAATATAGTAAGTTTTGATTAATTCGAAATTTGTACCCCACGACTATTTTAAATTTTTGCAAGTCTCGATTAATCTAATAAGACTACTTTATATAAGTATTGGTGATATGACTGTATATTAATGTATATGCTCATTTGTTATGTTATCCATCACGTTATTAATCATCGTGAATTGTTACGTCAGTACTACGAACTGTTACATTAACATCGTAACCATCAACAATGAAAAATATTGATCAAATAAATATATTAAATTTATTTTTTTGAATTAAAGCACCTCATTAAAAGAAAAAAGAAAAAAGAAAAAATAATTTGAAGAGAACATTGATTTTTTAGCAGATAGACTTCTGCCCTTTTGCCTTTAAGTAGTAACTGAAGAATAAGAGAGACGATAGCAGAGTCGAACTTTTCAAACCTTTCTATAAACTTTCAAATCATAGATCCAGAACCACCTCCTTCTTTTCAAATAAAAATTTTACCCAAAAAAATCCCGAGTTTAAATAAATGGGAATTTTATGCAAGGCGGTTGACGCGCTGCTGATGGTGGCGTTCGTGGTGTTGTTTTTTTACGGTCCTTTAATCGGCGCGCAGTTGGTTTATCCAGAGACCACTTTCCCGGAGGTGCTCGTCCGTTTGAAGCAGCGTTATGCGGAGGAGTACCAAGATTTTCTAATGGTGGAGAAGCCTCTTTTCTTCGTGGCCTTGGTCTGGTTGGAACTTATGTTCCAGTGGCCTCTCGTTCTGCTCAACATTTATGGGATTTTGGCATCGAAGCCCTGGTTCAACACCACGTGTCTCATCTATGGTGCCTCTGTTATTACTTCCATGGTAATTTTAAAATTTTCTTTATAATTTAACTTTTTTTTTGTTCTTTATGGTGGGATATTGAATAATTTGTGAATTCTTTTGCTGAAAGTAAAACTATGTAGGATTTACTCTCAGCTTGTAATGATTATTCTGATTAGGACTCTGAATGCGTTATTGGTGGAGAAGTATTACCAAATTACTGCTCTTAACCTTTCTTGTTCATAACATCTGTTTACTTAAGAAAAGTACTTTCAATTTTTCATAAAATGGTATAGAGTGATTACAGGTAATAACAATTTAGAATTTTTTTTAATAATTGATAAAATATAGATAATCTGTATACTCAACTGTTCATCCCAGATCCTCTAAGGTTTTTAATTTTTATATTAGTGTACGAGATGATTACAATGTAATATATATTTAGAATTATTTTAACCAATTGATAACATATAGATCTACATATACAGAAGCAATTACTTGAATCCAGACCCTCTAATACTTTCAATTATAGATAATATAGCTGATGTAGGTTTTCCATTTCTAGGAAAAGGGTTTTCACTTCACATTTGATGTGAACATTGGGGCTAACACAATTTGTCACTTATCAAATACTTTGCATCTTAATTTGTTAACGCACTGTGTCAAAAATTTCAGACTGCTCTATTAGGGGAGCTGCTGGGATCCCAGAAGGCATCAGATAAGTTGTTGACAATGTACTTTCCTTTCATGGGAGTTGGTGTTTTGGCCTTGCTGCGGGGACTGGTTTCTCACTCCGGCAAGTCTCAGACCGATGGCAAAAGACCTGCAACTGCTAGGAAGAAAAGGGCTTGAAAGTTGGGAATACAGGAAACACATCTTCTCCTCCAACTTCTTATGTGGTCATTTTATGTCATGTTTTTGTTTCATTTGTATGATTATTGCCTGCTAGTTTAGTGCCAATTGCATTACCTGCTACTGTTTGTCGAGATGATTGTTTTAGAACCCTTTTTGGCTTCGATTGAAATGAAATGCTATGTGATTGATCTTTGTTTATTATTGAAGTTGCATCATGGATCTTATCTTGAGGGGAAATGATTATCAAGCAGCCAAGCACGAGCAGGGATGGATGAATGTTGCTTGCCTTCTTTTAAGGCAGATATTCTGCTGGCATCTTATTAGCAAAACACAGTAGGGCTACGCACTATTTGCCTATATTTATTAAGGGTAAAGTATAAATGCCCCCACTATAAAGAGATGTTCTGTTGAGTATTTTGATTATTAAAAGTTATAAAATGATATAATGCTTTATTCAATCTTCCGACTGTTAAAAGTTACAAAATGATCACTTAACTATTCATATGTTCTAAGTTCTTTTTTGTTAAAAATTTGACGGCTATTTAACCTGAACGATAATCTGTTGATTGAGATATGATAAAATTACATTTTAATGATGTTTACAGGCACAACTGTTACTTTTAAGCACTAGCTCAATGGTATAACATTTCAAGTACTGGCTCGAGATAAAATGTAAATGAAGACTTGATCTATAAAATATAGCTCAAACAATTCTAAGTTCAGATTTTATCATATCTTAGTCAATATGATAACGTCTAGTTTAGAAGACAGTTAATTTTTAACGAAAAATGACAAGTTTAAAACATATGAATAGTCGAAGTTATTATTTTGTAAGTTTGAATAGTTAGGAAACTTAATAAAGTATCGCCTTATAGTTGGATGATCATTTTATAATTTTTAATAATTGGATGATCATTTGTGTACATTTTAGTAGTCTAACTTGTGAGGGAACTTGCAATAATTTTAAAATATAAAAATGTTATTACAATATTAATTATTTTTTTGAATAATTTAGGGTATTACAATATAATATTTGTTTATTTTTTTAATAATCGACAACGTACAAATACTCTTTAGATATAGTTGCTCAAACATAAAATCTCAATGAAAAATAATACTCCCTTTAACCATTTAAGTCACTTAATAGATTCAAGTGCAATATTAATGAAAATGATAAACTACTAGAATGATCACTTACCTTTTATATATGTACAATTTTACTCACCAAATTAAGAATAAAACAAGTTTCGGTCACTTATTTATTAAGTTTTGTCATTAAGATGTTGAATGTCCTTAGTTTGACGACGTGGCCTACTAATAAAAGGTTTTAATTTTTTCGTTAACCCCTAACTTTAGATAAAATATTAATGTGGTTTTCTTTTATAAATCCAAAATAGTTAGTGACAAAATATCAATTTACCCTTTATTCATCGTGAGACTGGTTGAGTAGGCTTTGGAATTTAGGGTTTATTAAGTGGCCTAATTCTTTTTTTTAATTAATCTGGGGTAAGTATAAGATAATATTTGTTCAAAGATAACTCTCAATTATTTGACATCACTTAATTCGTGATTAAGTGGCGTAATTCAATAATAAACCTTTGTGCTTCTTTTCCCTCCCCTGTTGAGACAGCAAAACACCCTCCTTTAACGTCACACGACACTGCTTTACCGACACTCATGTCCTAGTCAAATTTGGTCTGGTTGAGCGTGGGAGATGAGAAGTCAAATTTGCCAGACTTGTGGAGAAGAAGATTAAGAAGAGTAAGGTGTGAATTGATAAATTGTCCCTAAATTGCTTGGGATTTATAATAAGGCCCATAGTAGTATTTCATCTAAAATACAGGGGCTAACGTAAAAATAAAAACTTTTTATTAATATGACACATCGTCAAACTAACTACATTTAACGTGACCAAAACTTACTAAAATAATAGCGTAAATGACCGAAATTTAACTTTTTTGAATTTGGTGCACAAAAGTATATAAGTATAAAAGGCAAGTGACCAATTTAGTAGTTTGCTCTAATGAAATTTTTAAACAAAACATTTATTATAATTAATAACTTACAAAATTCTATAACTACTACATTGTCCATCATTTTCAAATATATTTGTGTACAACATTGCAATTATTTTAATCATTTACTAAATATTGCACGAACTAAGTTATCTAAGTAGTTAAAGGGATAGTCGTTATCCCAAGAGACCATGAGTTTGAGCACCAATAATTGTATGTATTTGAACGTTCATTGTCAAATGGTTGAGAGTCTTTAGAATATATAATACCACTTGTAATCACCCTAAATTAATAAAAAATTATTTTTCTTGAGGTTTTTTAAAAATTGAATAAGAATCTATATCATTGCGACATGTTTTTCTTTGCTCTTGTGTCACGCGTTTTTTCTACTTTTGTGGCATGATCCTTATGACTTTTGGTATATTTTTCGCACACCTTTGAGGTTGTTTTGGTGCTCACACAAAGACCATCACAATATTTGTTTTTTTTTGATTGATTTGTCGGTGGTCGCGTATAATTAGATCATCTCTTTGGTATAAGATTATTTGTCGATGTAATTAGAATTATATAGAAAAGCATCCTGCCAAAGAGTTTGGTTTGCTTATCACTCCTTTATCACTTCGTAAAACGTCTCGTTCAACATAGATACAAAACTTTTATGAAGGTCACGGTAATCATTATCAAGGGAATGCTTCATTTTTTCTTCATATCTTTAGATTTAATAATTTTGTTATTGTATGAGATTTTTTATGATTATTGTCCCTATTTTCTCTATAATTGGGTGCATTATAATTTTGATTCTTTTCAAAGTTTTTATAATGAAATCAGGTTGTTACGTTAAAAAAAAAACCTAAATCAAAACAACTGTAAAAATTAAAAATGTAATTATAATATCATGTTATGGTAGATATTGACTCAAATTCCAAAAAATAATTACGGTAAATTTTGTTGTAATTCTACAAGTTAAAAATTATTGGCGATTAAATTTATTTAATTAAAAATTCTTATAGAATAAAAATTCTCAATGATCGAATATTTGACTTTATCCTTTGGAATCATGAGAGATAATTATTTTAGAGAGATGTGATTTTTTTTATAATTTATACAATTTTTGAGGTTTACGTTATAAAAATGAATTTTGTAGGAATGAATATTAGAAAAGTGTTTTAAGATATACCATGTGTTGAAATGTTGTGATATTATATATTTATACTTTTCATTATCGTTATGCTTATAATAAATTATTGTTTCTCTCATTCGTGAAGGTAAACAAGATCAAACCGCGTTTAACATAATTTCTTGTGATTTATTATTATACGTTAATATCACTTTGTTTATTTTTTACTTATAAATGTGTAGTATGTTATAAAAATTTTGATTATAAATATACAATTTATTTATTTATTTTTAGTATTTGTATAATTATATTTATGAATTTATTTTTTACTGAAACAACTAATTTTATTCAAAATAAGAAATATCCCAAATTACAATAAAGATTTACAATCACAATCGTAAATTAAGCACATAATTAGGAAAATTTCTTATAATCAAAATAAAACTAATAACTTAAGATCACATAAAGACCATACAATGAAAGATTAATTCTAACCAAGAAACTTGAACAAACATAGATACAAACATATATGATGCATCAACAAACGAACCAAAAAAGGGATCAATCTATTGAAAAACAACCAAAAACCGCAAATCATACTCAAGCAACATGAAAAGTTATCCATGAATGCGAATCGTGTATCAAATCTAATCTGAGGATCTAAAGCAGTGAAGATCACTAGATATCAAATAAGCACCGTCTTGATCAGTCGTGGCGATATCAAATCAACCATTAGAAAAAAAGATAAATAAAAACAACCAAATAACTGAAAAATTGCCAAAAAAATCATAAGAAAATGTGTCATAGAGGCACATGAAAACGTGCAATACAGGTGAACTTATTGAAAATAAAAAAACAAAAGAAAATATAGATATGATATAGAAAAAAGAAAATAAAGAACACCGGCGGTTGACAACCAATATTAAAATTAGTATCGCCGTTGATAAACAAAGATGAAAAAAAGAGACGAGATGCACACCAATGAGAGAAAACTTATTATACTTATGAAATTGACTATTACATGGTCGATCGTTTATCATTATCGTCTACAAATTTTTACACTAATGCTTTCTTAATTGAAAGTTACTCCAATAATTTGTCAATAAATTAAAATAAAAATATTAAATCATATTTTCAACCTTAGAAACACAATCAATCAAAGGGAAATAAGGAAACAAGGGATGTTAATATCCTTGCACAAAACTTTAAAACACTAAGGTCTCTCTACATAAAGATTTTGCATTCATTTTGGTTCATATGCTTTCCATGGGGAAGTCAATTCCCGAACCTTTAACTCTTAAAGCACTTGATGAATTTGCTTAGGTCATAATATTTTCTTGGCTCCCAAACAAAACTTCAACATGTCAAACAGGATCATGCAAGGTGCGTTCTTGACTTCATCCCTTCTCTTTTCTATAATTCCGAAGATTGAATTCCTCAACCCCATAGCTCTTTAATTTAATTTACCTTCCCTTGCTTCCTCCTTAGGTTAATCACTGCATCAAACACAACATATATAAGTGATCAGAGATTCATATGGCGATAAGCTGTCGTCAATGAAACTAAAAATGCGTCTGTGACCATAATTTAAATCCATGTTAATGATGTTAGATAATCAATATCTCCAAATCAACAATTTTCCAAACTTTGTGTTACCATACCTAGCTAAGATTGCTACAATTTGAAGATGTGGTAGTTCATGCATTGTCGCATGACAGAGAAGCCTTTATCCTCTCAACGGTGCATGCAATCAAATTGTTCACGGTTGCAACTGATCCTAGAGGAAGTTTCGCCGTTGGCACGGAGTCGACTAAAATCTGAAATGCAACAGTTAGAAGAGATCCACCAGACCCGCCGGCATCAGCGATGCCACCATCGGTTCCATCGGGCAATATTGCGAAACCCGAGGGAAGAAGGGCAACGTAGTCCGGGTCCCCTCCATTTAGGACAACATTCATTGCAACAATGTCAACAGGAGCATAGATCACAAAAGAGCCGGTTGAATCAGTGCAACTCTCTTGTAAAATCAGCATGTTGCTTTGGCTTGAATTTGCACTCTGCATAAATTTGTTTCATGTTA